TATTCATTTGATGGTACATCTTGACGCCGGGGCAGGCATGAGAGTTCCCCCCAAGCCCTTTCTCGAAAAAGGTGGCAAACTTCATGCCCAGTGACGGCACGGCCCTTCAGATGGCGGCCGAGGCGGGGCAAGTTTTGGGCAGAGTGCAGTTTGAGCTGCGAGGGGCGGTTGGTAGGTCTCAGAATGCAGAGAACTACAGTGTACAAAAGAACTTCCCAAACCAAGGGTCGTATATAAACTCAATAAACTAATCCGCTGCTATTTGTACTTGCGAGCAAAACGGCTGGTGACCCTGTTTTTTTTCAATACACACCTCGTGACGTACTGGGGAAGGTACGAGCTTCATACAGTGGAACAAGCATGAACAAGCCATTCAATGTTTGTGCGGTCAAACCGGTGTGCCCATGGCGACAAGCACATAGATTGCTGAACAGTGTTCGCTTTGTCCGTGTTTGGCATCTACTGAAAGCTCAATAGTGCCACTGCCACTTCCTCATTTTCTGGCATATCATGGATTTGTCATGATGGACAAACATGTCAAAACCCAGCGCCACCAGATACCCCGCGCCAGGAAAACACAACAAATTGCAACTCTTACTCTGTCCGATGCGACGGATTTGAGGGGATGCAAGAATGTCAACACGTTTTCAGTTTGTCGCCGCGGGTCCCAATGGGGTGTTCCAATGCAAGTGATTCAGCCGAGAATCGCGGTTGTGTCCCTGCTGTCCCTGCTGTCAGTGAGTCTGTGTCGAGCCATCGCCAATGTGCGGTTTGCCAGAAAAAGGGTTGTGCTCCAGCTAGGTTCCTCTCCTGGTATATTTGGTTTAGAACATTTCAACCATTTTCGAGCTAAGGTGTCCACATGTGTCCACCGCCCTTGACCATCTTCACAGCGTAGCTACGCTGCTTCTGATCTCCTTCTCATGTTTCTAAGACCTCAAAACGCGACAAACCGGTCTCAAGTCCAGCCACGGCCCTTTCGTTCAAGACCTGATGAAACCAAGTCGGGCTGCAGCTGCGGCCCTCAGACCGCTGCGACCGTCGCAGGTGATGTTTGACATCGACCTCTTGAGCCGTGCGCGTGTCGTCGTGCGGGCGCCGGGTCGGTCGTGAGGAGAGAGGGACGTTCGGAACATCGGGGAGGAACATCCACTTCACCAGAGGAGCGGTTTTCAGTGAATGGAGAGAGAAAAGGAAGATGTCGTTTACAGCATCTTCGAGGCTCCGCCGAACGTGTGTTCGGGTCGTCCGCGGTTTGAACGAAGGACGACTTTGGAGATCTTTGGTGAAGAGGAAGATTCCGAGCATCGATCTAGGTGAGCCAACTGAGAGGGGTGTCGGGTTTCGGGTTTCGCTGACCTGATTCCCAGTGACCAGAGATGGAGACGATGCTTTCGAAACCAACGAACCCAGTCTCCACGGCACCCAGGTCGGCACACTGGCATCGCAGGCCAGCAGTAGCGGTGTTCTGCCTCTGGCACCCCAAGAGGAATCCTAATTCTGGGATCACAAAGAGCCTGAGTGGAGGCTTAATGAGGATCTGATAATTACCTGGGGGAGAAAGATGGAGAACATTCTCGTCAAATGCAGAGTGAAACTCCCACCGGGCCCACATCAACCGATCCTTTCACAGGACATGTAACAGACATTGGTTGTAGAAAGTGGACCTTCAGATTAGACCACTTTTCGATACAAGTATATTGGACGAACAGGAGGCCCAACAATACAAGGCCAAAGACCCAGTAAAACCATGTAAAACCTGGTCCTTTATACTAACCGTTACTAACCTTCTTTTTCATAGTTAGTGCGTGCTAACATGTACGACCTGGACGTCGGTATTTCATGAGGTCGACTTCTTGACTTCATAGGTCCTTAGGATTCCTTTGCTCATGTCCTCTTAGTGGTCCATGCGCCCGGTCCACGCGTCCGCGTCGGCCCGACGTCGTAGCGAGGTCACTCGAGTCGCTTGCAGCATCGGCTCGGCGCGAGGGTCAGCTCGGGTGGGCTGACTGAGTGGGTGGGCTTGAAGACCGCAGGGTGATATCATGGATACATACATATAATGGTGTGTATCACATGAAATATACCGCAACAAATACCAATTCTATAGATGGACTGCGCTCAAAAAGCCCTACTCAAGAAATATATATATAGATAAACGTAAACGTTTAAGGTTGGAGATGTGTTTTTAAGTCTTCGTTTAGAAGCGTGCCCCCAGCAGACTATGGTGATACAGCAAGGCAGCGCTAGATTGGCGCTAGATTGGCGCTAGGTTGGCGCTAGGTTTCTTCATAACAGGATAAGCAAGCAGGAAAAAGAAGAAACAAGCAGAGAGCAGGAAAAAGAAGCAAGACAAGAGAAAGGAAAAACACACAATAAGAGGAAGAAGAAGAATGCACAACAAGAAGAAGACAAGCAAACAGGAAAAGGAAAAATCTGACAGGATAAAGAAACCGACGGATATTTTTCCCTTCCGTCCTTCCTATGTCGTTCTGAAGATTTCTGAGAACTAAAAATTGGAAGCGGCTGCTGAAGTCTAGCAGCAGCAGTAGCAGCAACAACAACAGCTCCAGCAGCTCAACAGGACCCTGAAAAGGTCCGTTCTAGACACCTCTCACAGTTTTTGCAGTTGACATGCCCTCATGTTTAACATCCCTGTGCTTTGAGTGTGGTTGGAGTTTATAAAGGAGATTTAGAAGCGGGCCCCCATGGAATTGCGATGAGTGCACCATTTTGGGAAAAGACATTTTGGAAATCTATCATATGCTATATACATGCAGTTTTATATATACACCTAGAGTTCATGATCATGAACATGCTATGTGTGTTTGTCCCTTGTAGCGCCAAGCTTCAGATAAGACCTTGGGCATTTTTAAAGCATCCTGGGGTATGATAGAATAATTTAGCATGAGTCACTCTTCGACTGCAATTGAACGGCCGTTGTGTAGTTGTTCTCCGCCGGGACGGGTCCCGTTCCCGGAGCCCGTCGTCTTCTCGACTGTTCTTCTCTCGTGGAGGGTCTGAACTCCGTGAGGACGTTGCTGAAAGCCATTGCATTGGACTTCCATTTGTTGGATCAAGAGCAACGTCTTCACCAGCAGTGGGGTGTGCGTCCGGGAAGCCCAGGATACCAACAAAAGAGTTGGACCGATACAGAGTTGGACTACAGGCCTTGTTTCAGGCTGTTTCCCTTTCACACAACCAGACGAAAGGTATAGTGATAGATTCAAGCCACTGCCCTGTCAGTAGGGGCCCAGGTGTGAATGATGTGCCCTGGCGGCCGCCAGCTCACAGCGGACGCGAAAAAAGGTGCATGACAATGACACGTCGATCAGCGACCTAGGGGCTTGAAAGGGGCGGCAAAATGTGGGTGGAGGATTTTCAGTTTTGGGACAGTTGCATGAGAGGTCTTTAAACTTTAGTGACTCGGATGTGACTGGTCAGGAGACCCTGACAGCATTGTCCATTGACTTTGTTGGGTTTCCGGAGATTTTGCATTGGCATGGACACATTTGTAGACTACCTCTGGCTAGTCTCGAAGACACTGGAATCCATGTAATTAATTATCGCTTCCTACTCGCTCGTTGACCCGCTCGTTGACCGCAGGAGAATCGCGTGAACCAGAATCGGAAGGGGTGCAACAAACATTTCAAGGATGACTGCAGGGGCAGGGACATGGACCGGCGAGGGCCAACACCTCGGCCAGTGCTGTAATAGTTATAAGATGTTCGTACCAGGTCTGTCAGACTGCTTTGATGACACCTCGAGTTTGGGAAGGCTGAGATGGGTAGTGGGGTGCACAGACAGACGTTGGCGGCTGGTTTGTTGGGCAAGGCCGGACAAAGCTGTTTGACAATGTTCGGCAGCGGCGGTGATTGTCGTTTCAAGGTTACCAGGCTGTTTTCCGGCGGTGCATGAACATATAATTATGAACATTGATGACCAGACTTCACTGAGATGCATGACAACCAAGCACCAGGGACTTTGAGCAGTTCTTAGAGACCTCCAACCCCCTATCTCTACAAACAGGGGGGACCTGTCCAAATGTAAGCTACATTTTTAGCATTTTTTTTGGGGGGTGATTTAATGAATTTTACTGAAGCAATCTGAATCCTGGGATTCTTTTGGATTGTAGGGTGCAGCATGGAGCAGGATCACACAGATCCAAAAAACAAGCACTTGCACAGCAAAAAAAGAAAAACAAAGTGCAAACCATGTCAGTGTCACTGCATTCAAGTTTGAAAGACGAACGTGAACAAACACAGAAAGGTGTTAAGAAAGTGAAGCCTACAACAATTGTAAATTACACATTCCAAGTTCTTGTTTTTTTGTTCAAACATGTAGCTTACATTTATTCAATAAATGCAACTTACATGTTTCAAGGTAACCCCCAAGAAAATGTAACTTACATGTTCTCAACCCAAAGTAACACAAAAACGTCGCTGACATTTAGACAGGTCCCCCCCTAGGGGTGGGGATGTTCAGCTGAGCTGCGCGTCGACCGTTGCCAGGATGAGTTGCTCTTGAGGCTGCGCGCCGCACTTCAGGGTACCTGTGGTCGGACCGTATCGGACATGTGCGGCTGAGCTACATCAGTTGGGTCTGTCCGTTCTTGCCTGCAACAGTCAGTAAACCATTATCACTATGTCTTAACAAGGCCTTTACTAACCATCATCATCCACTGGGCCCAGGTATTAGGATAGCATACAACATCAGCTGCGTCTTTGGGGAGGACGACTCGAACACAAGTCGCACCGGTGACCAGTACTGGCGTCCACCAGTCCAGTCCACCGGTGACCAGTCCACGAGCGCTAGAGCATCCAGCTCGTGTCAATACCCCTGGAGCATCCCCGCTGCTATTTCATCTACAAAATCGATATCACCCACCCCCCCACTTAATTCCAAGGGGGATCAGTATCATATAAGTATGTATATTATATATATGCATGTATATATAATATATATTATATATTATATAATATTCAAACTCCCATTGGTCTGTTGAGACATCTAAACATGTTTAGACCGCGGGCACCTCACCAGGCGCTCAGCAAACGACCTTGAAACTTGAGAAAAACCATCAGCACCATGGAAACCATCTGTCGGATTTCCTGGCTCCTTACCTTCACGGTCCCGTGGTGTTTTTCGTCACGGCGCGGTACCCAAGCCATTTCGGTCCGGAACGAGGCACCGAAGCCATTTCGGTCCGAGAAAGGCGCCGACTCTTTCGCCCGTCCCCATCCCGTCCCGTCGCCGGGGGGAGCTTGCTTCGACGGCACCACTGACATGTGTTTTTGGAGATCGGACGGGACATGAAATTGGGTTTTGGATTTAAAGAAACATCAAAAGCTATAATGAAACTGAGTAACATGTTGTGCTTTAGTACTGCTTTAGTTCTCTTGAATGTTTCTTTGCTTTTGTTTGTGCTTTTATTTGGGGCAGTCGGGTCCACTCTTGGAAAGATCCTTTGGCGGTGGGACAAGACTGTGAACTTGATGAGGTGCTTGCGACGGTATTCTACAAATTATAGAGCCTGCTTGGGGCTTGGTTTACAGAACTTTCTATAAGTATAGTGTGCCTGTGCTTGGCTTGGGCAACATGTGGCTGGTACTGAATGGTTTGGCACCGCAAGATCTTGGTTGAGGTATGTCGAGGTGTTTTCAGGTATGTCGCAGGTGTTTCTCTTGACTCGCAGTGAGTGCGGGGTGGTTTGGGGGGCACTTGGGAAACATCACCATGATCGCATGATAGGTACCGTCGACGGTGAAAGGCACTGAAAAGAGCAGACTATCCCAAACACGACACATGGGACTGCCATTTGTGCCGCCCCATTGACCCCCTGGCACCACCCCTATTGATTGGCAAATATGGCAGTCCCATGGGTCGTGTTTGGGTATTGTTTTTCATGCTACTCTGACTCCTCAGACAGAGTTTGGCACATTGTCACGATGCTAGGCTGCTAGGCTATGCCCAAGCCGTGCGCACGGAATCCGCAACGAACTGCTCACGATCCGATCGCAGACGTGGACGGCCGTAGTTCCTGGATGTATCAATTCCATCCTATTCCTGGAAATGGCTCCAAATTGAACAAAGGGGAACACGATCGCAAGATATCTCACGTACCAATCATTTCGGGGCCTGACCCTGGACAAGACTTAATGAAACTACGGAAATGCCTCTTGTTTTTTTCTTTCGGAGATGGGCATATATTGTGTACTATATTGTGTATATGAGGAATTTGCCGTCGGAGGAAGGGTTTATGTGTGCGGTCGTTTTTAGGGTTCGCCTGGGTTTTAGGCGTAGTTTCCTCTGGTTGCAGAAGGTTGAACTCAGCAATCTTGCAGACTGTACAGGACTTTGGGCGTCAGGATCTGGAGGAAAGCTCAGTTAAAATCCATGTTCCTGGAACACTGCTTTTGGCAATTGGAAGGAGCGTTCTCCTGGAAACTGAGATCAAGTACGTGGAAGTCAATGGTCGGAGGAGGATATAGGAGGATGCCTAGATCAAATCACTTCGGAATTTCCGCAGTTTTTCACTTCCATGTTTCCTGGAACGTTCCACGGCGCGGCCAGGTGGAATGGGTGCCAACAGCCTGTGGCTCGGAAGCCCAGAGGAAGAAGATGCCGCGGCTCCTGCGGCTGACAGACTGAAGGGGTTCATAAAAAGAGGCACGTGTTTTTGCATGTTTTTTGGTTTTATCGTCATCTAGTAATCTAGTATATATATATAGATCAAGAAAGAACACTGGCATGCGCAGTTATATATTCATCATTTGCATTCAAGTGTCAAGAGCAGCAAGTCACCAAGTCTATTGTTCTATTGTCCACCATTAACCCTGACTTGCATATTTTTGCAATACTATTATTGTTTTGGATGATTCCAAAATACATTCACCCACTCTACGCGTTCAACATATATCTCATTGCATAATGTTTGCTTGTTTCTGCATTGGTTGTTTTGATATTGCATTTCCAGCAAAGCCAACTGGTTGACGGCATCTCTGATTTGTTGCATTGATTAGCGTTGCTGATACATACTCGTAGTTTGATTCAATATTTGCTTGGATTGATTGCACTTGGGAGAGTATTCCGTTTGATGATTCAGAATGGTTTCAGAACATGAAGCTTTCTGTAGAATGTTGGTTCTTGGGGCACATGATTGTGACCAACTCGAGATATGTCCCTCCAAGATCCTTTCTCCCCAAGCTGAAAGACTTCCAGAGCTGCCGGGACTGGCTTTTCGCAGTCACTGCCGGGTCCGCTGCTCCGCCATCCTCCGGCATCGCGCTTTCTCTCAGGTCCTTGACCTGGCCCTGGGCACCCTTTCTGCTCGCGTGTCTCAGCGGGGGAGACCCAAAGCGATGCCCAAGCGACTCACGAGTCGACGGCGCCAGACGTGGGCGTCAGAGGGGGAGGACGTGGGCGCGAGGCCGAGCCAGATCTGATCTGCGAAGACGGAGAACCAGCCGAGCAAACGGATTCGGTTTTTTTTTGTGCAGCTTAGAATAACGGGTGTGCTGTGGGAGTTTTGTTGCTTTCTGGTCATGTTTTTGGGACATGTTGTTTGTTGGTCTTTTTGTTGCTCTTCAGTGTGCCTTACAGTAGGGCCCAATTCCTTTTCTCGTGTTTCCTGCGCCTAGGTGTTCCGCCCGTTTTGTGATGCCTAGCCTGCGTAGCAGTCACATTCGGTGCTTCGCCAGCTGACGTGGAACGCGTTCGATCAGGCAGAGCGTTCTTGAGCCTCTACCTTGTCTTCCTTGTTGAGGGCAAGGTGCGACCCATCTCGCAACCGGTGGTGACGGGATACTGCTATCGTTTGCTGCGTCGGACCCGAAGGCAACGGTCGGTGTTTCCTTCATCCTGTGACCCGTGGCCGTGTCAGCAAAGTTGGATAGGTCACCAGTACTACGGAGCAAGTGGTCACGGCTGGTGTGGCGTCTTTCTCTTGAACGACCCCGGGGTGGAAACAACCGGGTTGGGCACCGCAAGTTGGGCCTAACTCCTCCGGTGTCCGGGTTGGGTGTCTCCCTGTTTGGTGCAGTGTAGTCCATTGGGCGCACATGGCAGGGATCTCCATTGGACACCCAACCCGGATGATCCTGGTATATTACACCCTGGAAGACTAACATGGAACCTGAAAGCTCCTGGTTGGTAGAGGAAAATAGTCTTCCATGGGACCATTGTCAGGATCTATGTTGTTTGGTTCGCATGAAACATCCTCGAGGCAAGTGTTTGTTCAGCTGGTGCAATGAAACACGCGTCTCCTGGCCACAGGTCATTGGCATGGATCCTGCCTCAGTTCTCAAACGAGAGCTCTTGGGTGTTTCTTTCGGGGATATAGCCATGGGTCAAGGCCTGCTTTCATTTTTCTGAAAGGACTAGGCAATAGCCATGAGCATGCACCGGACCTGTCATTTTTTTTTCAAGATAGACGGACCCTTGGTTTTCTCGCTGGTTTTCGAGGGACTTGGGAGATGTTTTGAACCACCAAGCAGTTGGTAGTGAAAGAGGTCACCTCTTTTTTCGCTTGCTTAGGGTCTTGAGATCAAGGTACGTGTGCATTCTGTGCCAAGTGTTGGTGCTTTTCCACTTATAGAATTCCACGCATTTGCTGCACGAGACCAGCACACGCTGCGCACGCTCAACTTGTGATGGTGGAGTCCATGCCGATTCTGCCAGACTCCCAGGTTCCAGAAATCATGCGCTCAATTTGCTTCTACGGCGCCAGGAGGCTCAGAAGGTAAAGACTCTAATGTTAGCAAAGGTTGTATCCTTGGCACAGCCGTCAAACCGAAAGGCTCTTCTTTGTTGGAAGGGCGCTTAGGGTGATTGGCCATGCTCTTTATTGGGAGGATGTATGATTCATGATATATTTTAACTTTCATGAAATAATAACATATATTATATAATACATATATAATCATATATATCTATATGACAGTATTATATGACACGACAATATATATATATTTATGCATACACGAATCATATGTCTATATATAACACATAATATATATATATATTATATCACATAAAATAAATGCACATGTAAACAACATGCAATCTTTACTTCGCCGTACCGTTCGTCATGGTCAGCTGGAGACCGATGTCTTTGTGTCTCCGGTCTTGTTCGCCGGTCTCCAGTCGGTCTCCCCTCCGGGAGCCAGGTGGCTGCCGTGCTGCTTTTGTGGGTCTTGCGCCAGGCGCGTTCTGCACCGGGGCGGAGGCGGATGGCCCGCAAGGGGCGGATGGCCCAACGTGGGCTCCTGGGGTTCGCTGAGGTTCGCTGGCTGGTTTATGCCATTGCTCGTTGAGCAGAAGGGAATAGGTATTGACGGTATAATAATGTCTAATACGTTTGATTTGCTGGATGGCCTAAAAGGGCCTGCAACTTTGCCTTGATCTCATATGTTTCAGTGAAAGATTTGTGGAGAACAAGACGTTTTTCCCCCGGCCCAGGTTGCGGCGATCTTCACTGCCCATCCAACTCCGGACTTGCGCGTGCGCGTGGAGTGCGGCTCCTAAGCCGCTTCCGGAATCAGAGCAGCCGCTCAGCCAGGTGCCAACATTGCAACTCCCACCAACCTTATATATTATATATATAGCTATATTATACATTTGATCACATCTTATCACTATTATGGTCACCTCCTGCGTCACTTCAATGATTTGAACATGATGGAGTTTGATGGAGTTTGGGCCTATCCCCAATTCCAACAAAAATCACACCCAAACGACGATCGGTGCTAGGGATCACGAAATGCCGGCCGCCGATCTCTTGCCGGTTCTGATCCGCTGGCGCTCGCAGTCCCACCCGCTCCCAGTCCGCTCCCAAAGCCGCCCAGTCCCGAGGTCGGGAAGCTTCCGAGACCAGAGTGTCTCGTGGTTGGCGGCTGACATGAGAGGTTGGCGTGAGAACATGGAGGCACCCGACGAGACACGTGCCACCGAGCGGCGGGCACTAGGCGGAGCGGCTGTGAGGCTGTTCTTGGGCGAAGCGGAGCAGAGGGTTCCTGATGAGAAATCATTTGGATGCACCTTAAGCACACACACACTGGGAAGAGTTACTTGTGTCGAACAGAAAGATGTCGCCCAGAACCACATGACATGTGTAGGCGGCACCGTCACTGAATTGCAAGAAATCCACCTGATGAACCTGCAACAGCCTGATCAATTAGATTGTCATGCAGAGTTCAAACATTATTCGACAAGCAGGTACAGGAATGTGCGTCCACATTCTGCGTCCACATTCCCTTCCGGCTGAATCCCATAGCTGCCATAGCTTCGTTGGCATGACTAGGGAAACAGCTGTAAGAATGTTCTCAAACTTTGAGACTCTGTCTTTTTTTAATTGTCCTTTTGGTGCTTTGTCCAGCTCTGTCAGTTGCTTTGCTCAAAGAAGCTTCGGGTCTTCCACCGTTCGTTCCAGGACGCGTATGTGGTGGACGAGCTGCGGAAGGACCTCTTCGGAGGCTGGCCATCAAATACGTGGTTCAGAACGCCCTTAAAAAGGGGACTGATCGGAGGGGAAGGGCATGGATCATGGATCGCAATTGTCGATGATTGGTACAGTAGATTTGGAGTTTTTCTAAGTTGGGGTGAGTGGGGTCTGGGGTGTTCGTCGTGAGGTGATTCTATAGATTGGCACAGTCCGGACAGGTTCACCTGTCTTCCTCAAAATGTGGATGCATTAGTCCACCTTTTTCATCGCAAGATCTATCGTCAGTCCTTTGAGAAGTCACTCAACCCATGTTGAGTTCCCTGAACCCAGTCTTGTGACCTGACCCCGAACACCCTACTTCCAAAGAATAAGAGGGGCACCAAGTCGTCGGACTGACTCGGTGCAGCGGTTCTGCTTGGTGAAAAAGTGAAGATTTTCGATCGACGACGGAGACAAGGTCCCCCCCCCTGGAGTTCCGCTTGGCATCTCAGTGTTTGTTTTCTGCCAGACATGCTGGACGGAGAAAAAACGTGACACAGTAGGTGGTGTTCAATTTTAAGTATATATATATTAGTCTTTGAGTCTTAGTAGCACCGACAATCAGGGACATACTGTAGAAAATCAGCTAGTTTCTGGCCATAGGGTCAATCCATCCATCAATCGGCTAGTGGAGGACACGAAGGTGTGAAGAATGACCAGCAGATTTGCTCCGGAGCTTGGATTCTTTGACTTACAAGACCATTTGCGGGACCCTTGGGGTTCAAGCCTCACATTCCCATCTCCCCGCAACACGGCGCCCCAGATGTCGCCCCTGTCTCCAACTTCCGCTCAGATGCTTTGCTCTTTGCGGTTTTAGATGGCCATGGTGGTGGGAGGGCCCAGGTGGCCCCGCCCCACTTGGCCACGGATTGGCGTTTGGCATGTTGGAAGATCGAGATGTGAAGCGCAAAGAGATGCATGTGTCACTGCGTGTGAAACACACATACCGAGTCGATGGACCTGGTTCCAGGGATGGGTTTGATGGATGAATCATGCTGAAATGAGGACCTGGCCGAATTGGCCCATGCCATGCAGAGTTTTGTGTGTTCCCAACTTCAAATCCTCAAGCCACTGGATGTTGCCCCAAGTTGACTTGACCCCCCCCCCAACTCCGGCTCCAAACCGCGGCTGCGTGGACGGTGCGTGTTGACTGTCGGCTCCAAGGACGTGAAGTCTCAGCTTTGGCCTCCAAGTTGTTAGTTCGAGAGATCGAGGCCTGGGGCCGACCAGGTCGAGAGTCGGCCCACGGAGACTCGACGACTCGGTCGGGTCGGGGGAAGGCCGTGAAAACGGTGGGTGAAGTTGTTTCACCGGGGAACTGATGAGTGTTGATGGATGGATCTTCAAGGGCTCACCGATGTTTTCCAGCGTCTTTCAGGGGTCGAAGAAGCTTTCAGGGGTCGAATCCCTTGCATTCTCCAAGCGTCTGAAGCAGAAGGGAAATGCTTGGCAGTAGTCGACAAACCCAGCAGACTTTGGAGAAGAAGAAGAAGAAGAAGGGGGGTTGTAAACAGCACTCCCCGAAAAGTAGATGATCTCTGACAGGCACCCGTGTAAACATACCCAAGACATTCCAAGAATATATATGTTCGGCTTTGGACAACTTTAGACTTCAGCTTGGAAAGGAGGCATCGCTTTTTTGTAGCCAGTATAGGCAGGTTTCAACCAAAGGAGTGTACGTATGTATGAGCATGAGCACTCAAAGGAGACAAACAGACAAACTTCACTCGAGTCGAAGGCAGCAGCAAAGATCAGCTGACACTAGAAGAGAATTGCAAGCAGGTAAGAGCATTCACCAAGCTGCTATCGGCTATCGCAACATTTTTGTGGGCTGCAAAACCACCCTATGTTTGAGTCAGCCAGTGATGGGCATCGCTTGGGGTGTCGCTTGGGTATCGTTAGGGGTGTCGCTTCAAATCCCAGAGTCTTCCCCATAGAAGATGACTGCTGCAAAGTCTAGACTAGACCACTTCCATGCAAACACTTCCATGTCACGAGGACATGTCAATTCCTTTCAGATCAAGAAGCTCTTAGAAGGCAACATGCATGTCAAACAAATACACTTGGACTTTTGGTGCATCCTCCATGTTCTTTTTGGGGCATCGCCGGCATGGGGGGCCATCCGTCTGCCGTCTGACCAGATGACCCGAAAAGGAATGGCCTTTACGTCCCGGTGGTGTCAAAGAGAGTCGAACTGGACTTCTAGCTATAGGGTTCTTATAGATCATTTCTCATTCAACATATTCAAATCCATTCCTATAGGCTATTTCAATCCATGGGTCTACCTGCTTTGGAGATTGACCTGAAGGTTCTCGCATGTCGGTAGGTGGACCGTCGGAAGACCGAGACCTCCCTGGAACTCGCGGAGGTGCCCGGTCTGGACCCGTTTGGGCGAACGAGTCGTACCTTCGTTTGGAAGGTGGGACTCGGGGTGGGTGCTCTGGTCGGGTCAATAGACCTGAGGAGGTACGACTGGAGCCCTAGGGATATGGTTGTCGATCCAAAGGTCCTTGTTGATGACGACATGACGACATAAAAGGAGGCCCGGACTCTCAAAGCCACTCCTTGAAATAGCCCCGAGTCAAGGAAGCTAATTAGGGTGTCTTTAGAAAGGGGGTGGCTTAAACAATTATTCCAGGGGTCATCTGACCTACTGGAATATGTTTTATTGCATAACATTTCTGGAACAATATTTTAGGTAGTGGTTCAAGGTACTACCTATAAATTTGGAATAATTTGAATAATTTTTGGAATAATATTCCAAGATGTACATACATGTAGGCGTATTGCCTCTCCGAGGGTATTTGGGGTTTCACACCGAACGATTTGAGCGGTGTTGCGACAGGGATGAAAAATGTTGAGTGTTTGCAAAGCACAACTCTTGTCTATGACATGGTGTTGCATCCAGATGTTTAGACATTATTCCTGAATGTGAATGACATACCAGAATAGTTTCCAGGGGCCTTGAGAGGGGTCCCCTTAAGCCACGGCCCATGTTTTTAGGGGTCACCGGTCCGTATGTATAGGGGTCCATGGATGTCCATGGTCCACTGATGTTGATTCTTGGAAGGGAGCTTCGCTTCTGCACGCCAACGCAGCCCCAAACTAGGCGCCCCGTGAGTTGTTTGGCGCCCGGTTTGGCTTCATGTTCATCCACCATGCCGACCAGTCCCCACTGTGTTCCACCTTGGTTCAAGCTCACTCTTGGGCCCCGAAAACACAGATTCCTGGATACAGGACAAATCACAGGCTCTCATCCTCAAAGTTTCTAGTGACTAGTGGGATCTAGTGGACCTGGGAAGATCTATGGGAAGAACCCAAGCGATCAATCGAACCCGCTCGTTGTCATGCCGCTTCACCTCTCTTCCCCATGCCGCTTCACCTCAGGTGCTTCGGCAATCGCTGCCCCGCTTAGATGAGCGCCTGCGCCGTGGATCCTGGGGTCGCTTGGAGTGCACAACGAGGTCCGCGGAGTCCGCGCTGTGCCCGGCAGGGCTGACCCGAGGTGTGAACCGCGAAGACCCAAGGTGTGAGCAACAAAGAAAGACTGGGTCAAGACATGTCAAAACATGATGTCGGAACCCACCGTGCCCGTCTTCGGGAATTCGTGGAGAGACCGAATGGTGTGTGTGTTTTTTCTCAGCCAAACTGGACATGACTTTTTGAGAGTGCTCTTTTTATAGTATTTTTTTTAAAACTACCTCTGACTGAATCTAGAATGATCAATGGAAAGACCGAGCCAGAAGAGGTTGGTCAGGCAACGAGCTCCGGTTCTTCAACACCTGATGTCGAGTGTCGACTGCAGTTCTTCCATCCATTCAGCTTCCATTCCTTGCAGTTATTCAGATTCCCATATCCATTCTATTCCCTCACAATTGGATCAGAGTCCGGGAACATCCAACCAAACCTCGATTTTTTCTTTGATCCCCGGGAGTGTTCCAACCGGTGTTGCTCCTGGCCACGCGGCATCTGCCGGACCGGACCCGGGTGCGCCGAAGACGAGCTCGGCCGAACCGCTCTCGCCCGCTGCCCGACGAGGGCCTCGGCTCTCGGCTCGGCCCAGGTATCGGATGGCTCTTCCCAGGTCTCTTACATCCCTTCGCCACGTGTGGTTCCACCTGCGTGGTGGCCGGGATCGACTTCCTGCGCCGCGAGGCCGCTTCGAAACCATCGGTCGGGCCGCTGAATCCCAGACACGACACATGGGACTGCCATATATTGACACCTCAAAATTAGCCCGATGTAGGCATAAAGGGCCATATACATGGAGTGTTTGGGAATAGGGTGCGGGGCGGAGGTGTTCGGGTTTTTGGAGCCGATGTTGGAGATGGTTTGAAATGCAAAGAGAAGAGACTGTTTTACTGTAGTGACTATAGGCCAGCAGGCACATATTTCAGTGCCCTGAAAGCAAATCTGATTATTCTGTTCCACACGAAGCTAGGAAATGGAAGCCTCGTGAAGTTTAATCGCAGCCTGTATTATAAATCTTCACATCGTTTTTGTCGCTCTCAGGACGAGGGATGATAATAGTGTACTCTGACTCACTGACATGGAAGTGGAAAACCATGGAAAACCCACTGTTGAGTTTATTCGTACAAAGGAAAGTGGTCTTCCAAGAGGTCCAAGAGATCATGCCATCCACTTCCAATACTTCCATAATGTGATGTGTTCTGAGTGTATCTCCAAGTTTGGCGACCCTAAAATGGTGGTGTAATGTGGTGTACTACAAAACCAGTGACCTTGCCTGTTGATACCGATATCAGTACCGATATACCATCCAAAAATCCCGGAAACACAAACCGGACCGGACTTAAGACATTTGTTAACACACATCAAGAACACATTGACAACGACAGGTGGGAACAACCGAGACACTCCACCGGAGTCCCGGAGACGTCCGAGACACTCCACCGGATCCCGGGAGACGTCCGCAGTTGGTGGTCGCCAACATCGGCGATTCCCGGGCCTTGCTGATTCGTGACGGAAAGGCGGGCGGGAGCGGATCTGCGGATCTGCGGATCTGGGCATGGGAAGACAAAGTGAGCCTAGGGATGCCTAGGGCCTTAGGTGCTGTATTTTGTAGAGAACCAGCAAGATTTGAGGTGTTTGTCTTCTTCCAAAAGCCCCAAGGACGATTTCAAAGAAGGGATGGTCAGGTGAAGATCTCTCAACCTCCGCGATTTGACCCCACCGCATTTGGTGAATGAAGCCACTTCGATCCTCATGTGGGGGTCAGTCACGCGGCGCGCTCTTCGCCCGCTTCGTCCCCTCCGCCGGCGCCTCGCCCGGATGCGTCCGGAACCCTCAGGCGATCGCCCTTTCGGAGGATCACAAGCCCGAGAACCCTCTGGAGCGGAACCGCATCCGTGCGGCCGGTGGCCAGGCGCTGCAGGGATGGCAGGGAGTGCAGGTCTGACTGGTGCAGCTTCGATTCGTGCGCGGCGGGGTGAGGTATAAAGAAACGGTGGAGCTGTGCTGCGGTGGCGTGTTTTTTTGGGGGAGTGGGGAGTGGGCGCAAAGGCCCTGTGCTGTCAGATGGAGTTGATGGGAGAGATGCACGGTTGGAGCGGAAGTAGTTATATATACAATTAATTCATGATGTAGTTAGTTGGAAGCAAATGTTTGAAGCTTCAGGGTACCTCTTCATAAGGAAAATCATATTTTAACAACAAAATCAAGACGTGAAGCGCAAAACATGCATCTTGTATTGCGAGAATGACACGCTGATGCTAACGCATTGCAAAGTCAACATGGCTCAACGTGACAGGGTGGCGTCTCTGCCAATATGGCAGAGTGGGTCGGACCTTGCGATTGAACTTGCGCCAGGTATTGAGCACAATCAAGGTCATCCATAAACAAGCTTTGCATTTAAATAGATCCCAAGTTCGTCATTATATAGTTGCAGTAATTGTAATTAAGGATTTGCAATTCTTTCGCTATGAAAAACCGCCCTCTAAGAGACGCCTTGTCTTGCACTGCTTTCTATTTGCTACATCACATCCCGATGTGATGTTGCAGGCAGCTCCACAACAATTTATGGTTGCAAGCCTTAGTGTTTTCCGCAAGTGTATTCCACCGCATTCACGAAGCCGCACACCTGGCCTTTGTCAACTTGTTCCACTGGACAATGAAAGATTGGATTGGAAGAACTAGGGGCGCGCATAGGCACCAGCGCACGCACACACCACAAGATTACAAGGATTTATATAACCCAGGGCTCCAAGTACCTCCTCAGAAGGTATATTGACCCTCTAAACCCACCCGAAACACCTTCTTAGAAGGTAGTTGGAGCCCTACAGATATATAACCTTGCTCATGCGACCCTTGGTGTCTACTCTCCTTTTAAAGATATGCCTCCCTGTTTAACTTGGGATTGGCCGCCGTGTGGCATGCCGTTTGCTGTCGAACAGGTGCTGAAAATCGGCCCTTGCCATCGAGTAGATGGAAACCTGAATCTTTCCAGGGTGCCGACCCCAGAGTCGTGCGGAAGACCGGACCGGACCGGACCAGGTCCCAGCGGGACCCATGGGGCGGAGTCGCCAACAGGTGTGCGACAACGGGTACCTTTGCCCGGTCATGGTTTTCGCATAAACCAAGAGTCAGAGTATGCATGGCTTCTAGGTCTTCTTTTGTCCTGTTGGCGGGACGTTTTCAGGTTTCAACCGTTGAGGTACCGTATGCGGCACATTGCGGCACTCTCTTGCTTGTCCCATGGATCAATATTGTTGGGTTGTGACGGATCAGAAGGTCAATCGCTGGGAGAATGTGGAGATGTTCCAATACAGACACTTCTCCGTCTCAAGATACTTCTTTGGACCCACTCAGACCTTGACAAGCTTGATGCATTTGAATGCGCGGATTGGTCCTTCATGCCGTTTTTGGACCGAGTCGCTTCCAACGAGGAGTCCTAGCAGCCCCGTCCGTTCGCCAAGCGACCGAAGCGCGGCGGGGCGACCACTCTCCTCACCGCCTAACCGCTGGAGGCCTTTCGTTCCGATGCCAACCAAGTCGGAGGTCGGGCAATCCAAGTGGTCGAGAGACGGCGCCCAGCCGCGCCGAGGCCTTTGGCGACTTCAACCTGAAGGCCGCCTCAGGACTTCCAGCCGAAAAGCAGAAGGCCTCCGGGCTGAAAAGGAACTCCTTTTGGGTGGAGGAACATAAAACAAGAAGAGCGTTACGCGGCCTTTTGGGCCTAGGGGTCCGGAAGGATGTCCCGCGTTGTGTTCTTTTTTTTTCAACCTTTCTGTGTTTTTTAACGCGGGGTTTGCACCGATCAGATGGAATTCCATCAGATGGTTTAAGATGGTTGAAGAGCAAACAACAAGAAGCTTTAGAGGGTGTGGTTTGGGCCTCCCTGCGTGGTTGTGCTTTAGTCAAAGATTAGTCTCTTCCAGGCATCAGCAAGAACTTGTGCATTTTTACACGGAGTTGCAACATGGTGCCAGCGGTAAAATACGAAACACATCCCATCTCCATCTTCGATTCAAAGCAAAGACTTCTCAACCTCATGTAGGAGCTTCCCCAACCTCATGTTCCAGCTTAGACTCTGCTGCTTCGCCCTACTCCATGTGGCACAGTCCGCAGTGGTTGGCTTGACTGTTCTCCATGTCACTCACGGATTCGTTGCACCACCCGTTGCGCCCCCACGGTAGACCTCGTCGTTGGGAACAGGTTTTATCCAGATTCCTTCGAAGCGGTCCATGGGCTTGCCAAAAAAAGCACCGATTCCAGCTCACCAGCTCATGCACTTGTTGAAACACCTTATTATGATGGTAGATGGTTCGCCTCTCCTCTCATAAAGTTTGATATCATCAAGTTTATGATATATTATATATATATTATATATTATTATACAACTATATATTGTATTATTATATCATATATGTTTTTAATATATTGTATTATATTATATTATATTATACTTTATTATATATTACATACAATATGTAATACTATACCATATTACTGTATATATTATACTATACATATACCATTATACCTACTCGGCGGGATGAAACTGTCACGTTTCTCCCTCCCACCTTCGAAACCGGCCAGGTGATTGCGGTGCCCGATGTGACCCGAACGCCCTTCCAGGGTGGGTTGGGGGGCCTGAGCAGGTCTGCGGAAGGTGCGAGGCTGGCGATGGGTCGTGACCCACCTGGAGCCTTTCACCCACCATGTAGCGATTTCGACCGCATGACTCCAAAGGTCGGTAGGCGGAGCTTGCGGTGATCATCGCCGGTTCCGGACCTTCCTCGGCTGTTCAGGTCACATGAGCTGCTTGTTTTAGCCTGTGATGGCCTCTTTGAGCGGAACTCCAATCAGGACGGCCGCGCGGAGCTCGGTGCGGAGCTCCCTGCCCAACGGTGCGGTCCAGGGCGATGGGTTTGGGCTTTGTAGTTGAGGTGTTTTTCAGTGTTTATGTACACAGTGCACCCTGAAGTGTTTTAGACGTGGAGTAAGCTAGAAGGCAGCAGTTTGAGGACATCGTCCTGTAAACCTGCCAAACCGGATGGCGGATGACTTGACAGGATATCGCCAACCTGATTTGGCCCAAGCTGAAGCTTGGCATGGTACGCACCTCAGAGCGAACCGAAGATCCCACCGTCCCGGTGACCGTCCCGGTGACCATCCCGGTGACCGTCGTCCGATTTGAGGTTTCTGTTGCTTGGAATGGGCTTCCAGGAAGTTTAGAACTTATCACGGACTGATTAGCAGTGTAAAGCCGACAGAATCCAGTCATCAGATGTCATCAGCAATACTGCAATGCTTTCATCACTTCCAGCATCTACAATCAATTGCAATCATATACATTACATACTATTGTTCAAAAGAAACACGTCTTGAGCTAACCTTCAAGAAACTGAGGTCCATCTATCTTAATCCCATCTTCATCCCTTGCATTCCATGTCTTCGCAGCCCCGGGTCTCCGCTGCACTCACTCATGGGCCTCCAGCCGGGCCGAAAAGAACAAAACGCTGCTCTCACCTCACCTCACTCCCCTTACTCACTCCACTCCACTCCACTCCACTCCACTCAACTCGACTCGACTCGACTCGACTCGACTCCACTCCACTCCACTCCACTCCACTCACTCACCGGGTGTCTTCCAGGCCTTAGAGCAAATCGCGCTGGGGAGCTTGGTGGGGTATCTGGGGATTTGGTGTGTGGTGGCGGCTCCGGCGGACTGGTGGTACTGCTTTTCCTTTTGGCGTTGGGGTTATTTGGTGGCTCGGTTTTGGTTTTGGGGGACTGTTGCCACATGATGTCATTGCTTTTTCTCTCTAATCGAGTTCGCACGCCTTGATTTATTTTGTAACACACCCCGAGCATTTTTTGGTCATTGGTACGCAGATGTTTATTGATTTTATTGGACCCAGCCCAACTAACATGTTGAAAGTACATCAGAGTATGAAAATCAACAGCAGAAGTGAACAGAACAGTTTTCATCTGCTCAGCCAGCCAGCAGCCAGCTTGAGAACAGCAACATGGTGTCACCAATCCACGTCCACCGGTCCACCGGTCCACTCAAACAACCGCAGGAATCCGTGCGTTTCGAGCGTTTCGTTCAGGACGGAGGTGCTTCACCAATGTTGTGCAAGGCGCGGAATTCTTGGTTTTCTCCAGGTCTTTGGGGCTCAAGATGGCTCAAGTCATATCAAGTCTGGGGCAAAACACATTCCCAGAGGTCACGTTTTGGTGGTTCCCATGGGTCAGGGAAGGATTCAGACGTGATCCACATCTGAGTGTAGACTACAACCACCCCGTATGTACAGCATTATACAGCTCTAGTATATATATATATATATGTATGTAACAAGAGTGATTAAGAGCCTCTTTGGGGCTGTGGACAGCCAATAAGGCCTTCTTTGGCCCTCTGGTTTAGCCAGCCACTGGCGGCAGGTCCCTTCGAGGCCGGCCGATCGAGGAAGGCAGGGACCGACCGGTTCAGGGAGCGAAGACATGGGGAAAATGCCCATGACATGCCCATGACAAACTCGTTTGTGGAAAGTCTTCCCAGGGCACGTGGGGCATGTCCAACACGATGGTTGCAAAGCTTCAAAAAGAGACTCTGTACATGAGGATTACAGGGTGCCGCGACACACATCTGTATAAGAGGATTAATGCGCCCATGGTCTATGTGCAGGTGAACCCAAGTTCGAGATAAAGCTCAGATCCAAGAGAATTCATCAGCCGAAAGACTTACTTCAGCCGGTGGAGGAACTTCCTGGACGTACTTGGACACAACCTGACGAGAAATTTGGAAATTATTCAGAAACAGCTGAGTGCAAATGTCGCTTCTGCAACATGGGCTGCCACCACCAAAATTTAGGATACTTAGGAGGAACGAGCTGATTAAAGGTCAAAACAACAGCCTGGAACCAGTGTGTCGAAGTAGAATTATGCATAGTAGGAAGGGCACAGTATTACAGAAAACAGAAGTCGACCACTAGTTAACTACTGCTATTTTTTTCTATGTTGGGTTTTGTTAGCATTGAACCACCCTCATTTGTGATTCCAATTTTGGGTATCACCCAGCCCATAACAAATGTTCGATAACTTTCCAACGAACATCAATTTTGCTGCGTTGGCAACTCACATTCAAGCAGTTCAAGCCATTCAAGCAGGACATAGACTTCAACTACTGTAAATATATGTAAATATTAATTGACACTTTCTCATGCCTAAATCGCTTCTCTTGTAGGTCCACCGGAGTTCCCTTCCGCTGGTGGGAAATCGGTCGAATTTCTCCGCTGGTGTTCGGGAGCTCCACGGTCAGATGGAACGCACCACCCACAGCCTGCGCACCCCTGGGTCCACTATCGGGGGTGATGGGGGCCTTGCTTCGAAACGCCACCCTGGGGCCATTCGAACGTGGCGACCTGGCCTTGCGGGGCCCAACATGGGGCCCAACATGGTGCTGTTCCATCCCAAATTCCGAGCCCAGGTACTGACAACGAGACGATCATCTTGGTACGTCTTCCAGCCGTTGACCGTTCAGCACTGAGCGGATTGGGTGGAAACGATGTGTCAAGGGAGCTGTATTTTATGGAAGAGAGGTGTACAACCAGAGGTGGAGCTGTGGACCATTGCTTGTGTGAAGGATGCGCAACAACCTAACAACCCAAGTTGGTATAGTTCGCTGTTTCCTTCACAGGCGGCTTTTTGTTCATGTTTCTTCCTTGCGTACGGTTGATGTTCTCTTTTTTTGCGGACCATCACTACTGAGATGTGGACTGACTGTCAAAGGTCCCATCTCTGTCTCTCACTCCGTCTACTGTCTCTGGGCTCGGTCTTGCCTCCATGCTCCACGGAGACGGAGACCCACCGAGGCCGAGCGGAGGAGGAGACGGAGACGAGAACTCCTCTGCCCCTGCAGGTCGGGCAACGCGTTCGCGCCCGGCATCTCAGGCGTTCGATGCGGGCCCATCCGGGCGGCGGTTGGTGGGACCGGGACACACGTCGATGTGCTCAGTCGTTGTGCTCGTTGGTTGGCCCCCAGCTGGGGGGGATGGATTTGTTGCAGAAAAGGGTTGAAGGGTGGACCGTTGGATGACATGGACACCCCTTTATATCCCTGTTTATACTATATTATATTAACATATACTATATAATATGTTTTTGTTATGTAAACAACAAGTGTTTGTGTATGTGTGTCTTTCTATAAGTGAAATATTGGCATCCAAGTCGCCTTAGTTTCCTTGGATTTTCATTCAGGCCACCGATTGTTGCCTCAGTTGCCGAGCCTTTCCAACTCGAGGTACACGGGCTGGAAAGTTGGGTGCTCAGTAGCAACCGGAGCACGTTTGAGGCATCTTGGAGCATGGAAAGACCAGGGCAGGCCAGGCAGGTCAATAGGAGTTGTTTGATGTTTTGTGTTATTTGTTTGCGAAATATTCTGGAGTGCCGCAGTTCCGTTTCACACTTCATACATTCTCCAGAATCTCTGTTTGATTCATTTTGGACCTCCCCCTAGGACCTTAGGAGTGTTAATTGATACATGTTGATATTTACATTCCATTATCAGGAATCATTGTGTGGGCACAACTAACTGCATCTCTTGGAACGGGAAACACGAGCCACCAAGGACGATGTTCATCACGTGTTTCTCTAACGGCGACCAACAGCGACCAACCTTTGTTTTGGACATGAAGAATTGTCGCAGTGGCTGTGGTATTATCACAGCCACTAAGGACGTTGTAGGATTATCATGGATACTCCGTTGATCCCAATGGGCTATCGGCCAAGCACATCTCCAACCAACTGGGGCATCGGGGTTAACAACTAAGGCAAGGAGTGGTATCTAGACACGTGAGTCGTAGGCAGGGATTTCTGATGGCTTGGAGTCGTGAGGTGAAACCGGCCAGAAATTCAACGGCATGGAAGGGACCGTGGAGGCAGATGCGGCGGGCCGGCAGTGTGGGCCGGGGCTACTCTGGTGCATCCGCCGTTGGCCACCGCAGGGGGTCCTTGAGGTTGGAAGGCAACGAAGAATCCTCAAACGACGTTGGGTTGATGTCACTCCGAGCGAAATGAAACCTTCGTTTGAGGCTCTGAGTTTCAGAAGTGGGATGCGACCTGGGTCGTGAGACCCCTGGTCAGTAGACTCAGTAGAACCTTGGATGTTGGGGGTGCGAACTGGCCGATTGAGAGAAGAAGGCTGACTTTCCTAGCTGGAAGAAGTGGCAGTGGTGGCTCCTCATGGCGAAGAATGCTCGGTGTCGGGCTTGTTGGACGTCTTTGGGCGATATCAGGGTCATCAATGACAGTCAGAGTCATTTTGAAGTCATCTTTTGTCTTCCGGTTAGACACTAAAGATTGGACATCCCGAAGATGACAGCCGGAGTCATCAAATGTTCCAATCTTCTCGGATCGTTTTCATCCAAGGTCATTCGTTTTGGCCCATGTTTTGGTGCCGGTCCCTGTGCACGAAGCCAACGTCCAATTCTGGTTGCATGGGTGGTACAAGAATGACACTGGCTTGACAATTCCTGGTAGAAAGGCTGGGAAGAAGGCATTTTGGTGGACATGTGTGGCGCTTTTCTTTGTCGGAATCAACACAGTCTTGCTCGGCGTATTTCGGCTGTAACGTGTTGGTAGCGTGTTGCTCGGCGGATTCAGCTGGAGGTTGGATCCTCTTCAGACACCGCGAGGAAGTCGTGGACACCTTTTGATATACCTGGACCCGACTTCAAGTACCTTAGAAACTGGGACACGACCCCATGAAAAAACAGGTACAAGACTACCCATGTTCCCAGGTACGGGTCGTACGTACTGCGACTCCAGGTAGTTCATTTGGCAGGTCCAATTCGCCAAGGTTTCGTTGGAATTCAGTTCAGAAGTGCGGTCTGCCAAGGTTTCGCTGCGGTCTTGGTCGTTCGCTTGTATCAACTCTCCCTATCTCTCCCTGTCTCCACTATAGGTAGTTTTTCAGCAGTCTAGAGCCATCTAGAGCCTATATATATATATTTAATTCATGTGGTTATTGACAATGAACCTTGCAGGAAGCTACTCTAGTCTGATGACATTCCCAATCAACCCCGACGGCACTTTCATTGCTAACGCCGATGAGACCTATTGCCTAAAAAGAGCCAGGTTCTATTGAATTGCCTTGTGAGTCGTCTCAGGGACGGCTTCACTGTTTGCAACCTTCTGATACTGCTGAAATATGCGGAAATGCTGATCTGAGTGTTTCTCAAACTGTTTTGCTTCACCTTCGCAATGCCTCGCCAGGCCTCTGGGGCCACTGAGGGCCGCTACAGCGTACGGATTGCAGGTCGCGTGCCGGATGTTTGGCGATCCAAAGGGTCAAGAACAAACCACAACGTGGATTAAAGTCACTTGAAAGGGGTGGCCATGCCATCCATTGTGATTCTTTCAGGGAGTGGTTCAAATCACCAATTGCGCTCCCTGAAAGAACCAAAGTGGATGGCATGGCCATGGCCCGTTGGATGACCATGAAATCCTCTACAAAACTGCCCGATGGTGCCATCCACTTCCATGTGAGTGACTCGGAGTGTATCCACAAACAGAGGCCTTTGCTTCATGGCTGAAAGGGAGTGAGCTTGGCTTTACCCACTTGGCTTTGGCCTTGGTGGTCGGTGGCCAGACTTGGTGCCGAAACTCAACCTGCGAAAAGCTGGTCGAAGTGGTTGACTATAGTGAACTATAGAGTCTTGTCACCTGGTCCAAGCGAACTACGGTGGTCAGTTGACAAGCTGGTGGAAGCTGGTCTTGGTTTGAAACTTGCGACTATAGAGTCTTTTTGGACATCCCGAGACCATGTGCTCACGCGTTCATCCAGCTCACAGGTTTCTGCGTGAATGCTTTGGTTTCTCAGTCAGTATATGTATATCATATGGGTTCTTCATGAAACAACTGTATCAAATCGGCCTTGAAACAATTCAGCACTTGTTGGCGATTTCCAGGAGTTGGCCTACACGTGGAATTCTCGAAAAGGTTGGCCTTGAATACCAGGCCTTTTGACCGGCAAACATCAGAGGTCTTTGATCAACAGACTTCCTCTCTAGAAGCCCCCTCTTGAATACCAGGATCCTGCCGATGTCGCATACCTCGATAGGTGTTGGATCCAAATCCATGAAGCCGGAGAATCTCATACCCATCGAGGCAGCGAAGAATGGCGTTCCCACTGAGCTACACCTGACCCAGGGACTGAGGGTCAGGGCCTTGTCGTGATGACCAACTGTTTGACGACCGGGCCTTTAAGTTTTGAGGGAGTCTACTCAACAGGATAGGGGGGAGCATCCTGTTTCATTTAGGAATATGCATTTGATTGAAGTCCACCCAACGGTTCCGTTCAAGCTTCCCAGTCGATTTGAACCCTGACGCAGCTTGTGGCAGTACAACTGGAGCTAGATACCTTTTTATGATGAGCATCCCCAGCAATGTATCCAATAGTTGCTTCTTCATAGTTACTTACATTCGGTTTATACACGGGGCAAATGACGGTACATGTATACATGTGTGTATATGTAACATGATATAACCCCAGGAGCGTGCGTGAGTGTGGTCCCGCTCCCCTCCATCGAATCGACATCGACATCTTTGCAGTGCTGCAGTGATGCAGAGTTCTCACAGGGCAAACCGTTTTGATATCTTGTTGGGCAGCATGATGCGTTGAGGAAGTGCCTGAAGGACCTTACTACCAAGTCATGGCCTTCTTTCACAAGGGATACCTTGGCAGAGTCTCCTTACAGAGAGAACCTGCGGGAACCTGCGGGAACACGATCTTTCATGGTTCGAGCGCCTGGCTCTTCGTGCCTTGGCCAGGAGAATCAAGGTAGTGGTGTCCTCAGAACATCTCAGGGCAGCGGAGGGTGGAACACCAAACAATTTTGGATGATGAAGAACTGAAGATAGGTTGCAAACATGCAAATGACAAGACACTAACTTTGGGCTCCATTGACCTACACTACGTTTTGCAATTGCCAGGTCATTTGAAGGGTGTCAGCTTTGTTTGTAAACCATTTGGATTTGACTTAGATATGACCAGACGCATTTAATTTGTGAAGAAGAAACAACTGGGGCTTTCTCCTTCAAGTTCGCGACCGGGGTCCTTTCCTCGCCCCTTCTTTTGGAACTGCGAACTCGAGGGCGGAAACCTGGACAGGGCCTTTTCTGGAGATTTTTCTGGGCCAAATGGATTCGTTTCAACCATTTGGTGTTTTTTGGGGCGCCTTTGGCGATGTTGTTCTTCACCCCATTTAGAGCCCTTGGCCCTTGGCGTTTTTGGTCTTTCTTTCTCGCCGTCAAAGCCATGAGGCCCCGCCTAGGGTGCTTTCTGAGCGCGACTAGACCGGCTGTGGGAAACGTATAGAACGGAGTTGCAAGCCTATCATATCTAGGGATTGATTGAACGAGGATTTCGCCATTGCTCAACGTTTGATCGCCTTGGTTTGCTTGAAAGAGAGACATTCTGGTGCCCCTTCGCAAGCACAGCAAGCTATTTGCGGGATATCAAAAGCAACAGCTTAGATCCGAGCTTTGCCTAGAACTGTTAGTGTCTAGCCCAGTCCGACCTGGGGCTCTGGAGAACCGAACAGAGCCGCAGAACAGCAACAAACGCCCTGTGCCTCGGGAGGGGTAGCGGGCTGCCTCGGGGTGCCTCGGGACGGACGGTGCGGACGGTGATGCCGTTGGTTTCGACCGATTCGTCCAGACATGGGGAAGTTGGTTTCGGTGAATCATGTTGCTGGACTCAAGTCCGGTGATTGGTGGACCGCAGGGAGATGGAAAATGATGGTTCATCCGGGCTGGTTGGAAGAAGTGCATTTTCTCTTCAACATCGGGTGGATCTTCATGCTTGTGAGGGACTGGTGGGTATATAGATCTGAAGTGAATTATTTGTCCTTCAGGGTCAAATTGGCTCTTGGTATGCGCGAGCATGCGCAAGAGAGAAGGGAAGGTCTCCAAAGACCTTGAAAACTTCATGGGTGGTGTTTACGAGGCAAACTGGGTACGCTCGGCCCAAGGATTAGCACCAGAAACAACATATGGCCCATATGCGAGTGAATAGGAAGAGCATGGAAGAGTCTCACTATTGAAGTAGAAATCCACATGTAAAGCGGATGTTCCAGTAATAAATGTTTGAAGAGCCCAATTCCTCTTTTCATCTACTGGAGTTGGGAAAGTTTGTCAGTGGGACACCACAAGAATGCATTTTCCCACACGAAACCGCAACCGTTCCACTTCCCAGAAGATTTGTTTTTCACAATCAGCTACTAGGATTTCATATATATATATATATTATTACCGGATTTTTATACGACATTTGTAGGGATATACGACATTTGTAGGGATTTTTGAGAAGGATATGTATTTTGGGCATTTGTGGACGTAGTATACGACTCCAGTACCTCCATGTCGGACACCGACGATGTGTGCGACCTCCGACGTCCGCAGGGGCTGGGCTGCGCAGCGCTGTGACCCTGCTGAGCTTGGAGGACGGAAGTCCGGCCGAGGGAGAGGGAAGACCCACATTGGAGGAGGGAAGCAGGAGCATCCTATTGGGACGCTACTATGGTCTCCACCCAATAGTCCAACCCACTTGGGAACAAGGACGCCATTGGACTATTGGGTGGAGGCCATCGCAAGGAGGTTGGAGGCCAAAAGTTACGAACGGAGCAAGGACTTCTACTATACCGACATGTTCCGGACACAACTCCCAAAGCAACGGGGTGTGTTTCGAAGGTTGGGAGTTTTGTCTTTTGACATCTTTTGACAGAATGTGAGGGAAGATTGGATACCCAATGAATACGCCCACCAAATCATGAGTGCCCTGTTTTGTCATGACCAGGAAATCGGGTTTATCAGGGGGGCTGTGGCCAAGAGGATAATTATATAACTTGAAGCCAAGGTCGACGGGATTCCTCAGTTTCATCAGACAGATCAGGGATGATCAAGCCATGCCGATGTACAACATCTGAGGACTTCTATATAGAGGTACACTGTATTGGCACCCTTACCCAATTACCTCACCAAACGTACCCAATACATCCCAATACCAATCATGGTGTACCCAGCTGAGTTGGGCAAAGATGACTTGGCACTTCTGAGTTGAGTTGACCTTGCCCAATACCATCCAATACCCAAACATGGCCCAACTCATCTTTGAACAGTTGGCCCCGGGACCGACACCACCGGTCTTCTCTCAGGACCCACGTGGTGCCTCCAACGCCGGGAGACACCGTTGGGAGGCTCAGTTCTCGGCCTCCGGGGGGGTGGAACAGTTGGGAAGGAACCAAGTTGGCAATTGTTTTAACATTAATATGGGGTACTAGATGGGTTCTATAGTATGTGTTTTTGGAGTTTTTCTTGATATGTTTCTCTTTTCATTTTGTTTTTCAACAGCTAGGGGAATCGTTGTTTGGGCTCAATGTTTTGTTGTTTTTTTCCTTTTTCAATGCCCGCCGGATGCCTCAAGACATGTGATCACAGGATCCCGGCCTGAGCTTAGCAAAGCTGTTTTAGAAATAACAAAAACTAATCATTGTGTGTGTGTTTTTTTCAGACATGTCATGGAAGTTGATTTGTCCTTTCCAGCCTTCCCATTTCGCCAGCTTCCTCTTCAGTTCGCATCCTTTGCAAAAGACACCGTCGCGGAACGATGCCGAGGCCTTCGGAGCGCGACGTGGATACCTACAACGTGCGGAACGAGGCCCGAAGAAGGAGTGACCACGGAGCTCCCAGGGAGGGAAGAGAGGCAGCAAAAATGTGGTGTTCTGGCAAGACTTTCTCCCTCTCTGATCTTGAGTGAATCTCAGGATTGTCTCTCTTGACATGGGTTGGTCCATGTTGGTCCGGCGACCCATGTGGACCCGCAAGGAGATCATAGAAGATCCACATAAAGAACTTTGGGAAAAGTTATAATAGGGTTACAGTAGGATCAGGTGAGTACTCGTGATCATCAGGTCCTTCACGATCTTACTTATTTCTGCATTCACTGCGCTTCAGAAAAAGCGGTTTCCCCACGGATCCCCAGGGTCTGTCAGTCGGTCCCTGCGAATGACAGAACACACGTCAGAGGCGGTCTTCTATGCGTGCGAGAGCACCGTCGGGCGCAATGGTGCAGAGATCGCCGCACAAGTGGCCGAGCTGAAAGAGGCGCGACACGTGAGCAGCGCGCCAGCGCAAGCGCAAGAGGGGTGTGACACGGTGGCGACACGTTGGGCGGTCGAGGGGTCTCGACTTGATGCGACCTGGCAGATTCGTTCGTTTTGGGCGGTGGCAATGTTCTATTGATTCGAGTGAAAACGAAGAGGGAAGGCAGATGCCTTCTTGGTGGGAGGAGTGACAAATAAGAAGCAGCCAAGCACAGCCAAGCAAAGCCACAGAACCGTAGCGGAGCTGCCTGGCAGCGAACATCAGAAAGGATTGCATGATCATTGCATTTGCGTATGCCACGGGCAGTTGCCTGCGGCGCGCCGTGCATCGAATTACACGCTAGCCAATCCCCATGTTGAGGTAAAGCTTGCCCACCGGAAAAGGGTGGTGGACCCCACCAGGGCAAAAGCAAGGCCACTGTTCAGTGAGTTTGCGCCCCATCCAAAAACCAAAGAAGCAGGAAGATAAATCCAACATGTCGGTGCGTTAGGATATTCCAATGGCACCCATTCCTAACCCACAGCTCATTTTCACTTTTTCTGACAACCTTTGCTCCTTCAACCTTCGGCTTCTTTGGCTTTCACGGTTCCGACGAAACCTTGCCTATGTTTCATTCCACTGTCCTCCAAGCGTGTGTGTTGCCGAAGGTCACCGTCTCAAGCTTTGAACTTCCACTTGGTGGGGAAAGTCTCCGGTTGTCGATTGTCCCGTCCAAAATCCTGGGCTTCCAAGAGCCTTGAGGCCTTGAGGTTTGGATTCTCACTCCAACCTGGAACCTTGTAGCTGAAAACAAGGTCCAGGCTGGCTCTGTATCAACAAACTCTCCGTGCCGATCGGAATTGAGATCACTCCTGCTGATGTTCTCTAATGTGGCTTTGCTGTGCAGCAGCAAGCTCCCGGCGTGCCACTTAGACTATGGCACTGGGGCTCCTCGGAGTGGATCCTAGTACCATGCCAAGCTATCTCGAGCCCTACAAGTGTGGACTCTCCAAATTAATTGCCAGGAAAAGTAATCGATCTGTATTGAATATTATGCGCCCCCCTCTCCCGCAGTACGGGATCGGATCATATCGGATCCAATAACTATAAATGCCCAAGTCCGGATAGATGAGAATCGCCCGGTTGGCCGGTTGGGCCGAACTATTCCATGCCCTTGAAGCCTGATCTGAATCCGTCATTTTTTCTCCCCACTTTGTTTCCCTGATACCAATTCACAGAGACATCGACAACAGTGCCAGACGAACAAGAACAGGGGCCACCGACCTATAATGTACTGTATTGTACTGTTTTAAAATACCTTTTTCCGGTCCACCGGTCTATCATGCTTTTTCTAACGGCCTCGAGGCCGGTGGCACTCTAACGGAGATGATCCGCGTGGCCTGCCACTTGGCCGAGGTATTCTGAGGTCTCCAAGGGTCGATGAATCAACGGGTTTAAGTGTGTATATTTATGTACGTATATGTTCTTGAACATACAGGTGTTTCTGTTTACACACATAGTCATATAACAACAATAGCTTACTGTATATATATAATATGCTATTATCTTTTGTCTGTTACTATTATGACAATATACATATATATATATATACACATGGAATGAGTGCCCGTCATCAGCCTGCTAAAAACCCAGCTGTTTGTGATTTAAAGGTTTTCAATGACACATAACAAAAGGCAAACACTTTTATGTTTTTTGGTGATTCTGCACCAAAAAGGAAAACACCAAAAAAAACAACCGAGCCAAGAAGAATGTGGGGTAGTGATTTTTTGTTTTGGTATGAGCTACAAAGAAGATACAAAGGCAACAGAGATAATAATGAGCATCACATACTGCTTTGGGAAAGCAGACACCAAGAGAACAAAAACAAAAGCACCCCAAAACAATAAACAATCACTACACCAGATTTTCCTCGGCTCGGTTGTTATTTTTTGTGCTTTACCAAAGACTACACGCATTTATTTTCCACAGCCGGCGCATCGGAGAATGCAGACGCAGATGCAATCCCTTCGAGTTCATTGCGATTTCCTCTCATTTTTGAATTCCCTTTATTGATCCCCTTTTCAGTCCCTGTTGTTCCAAATGCAATTATGTCTACGTTCTTCACATGTTTATTTCAAGTTATTTCCTTTTCAATTCCTTTTGCTTGATTTCCTTTTGATTCCTAGTTATTTCCTTTTGAATTTGTTTACCTCATTTATGTACGTTTAATCCCTTAAACAATCTTATCAAATTGTTGCTTGACATTTGTTTAAATACATATATATATATGACTTATACCCCTCTACAATAATGTTTGCTCTTTTTGGCCTTAATAATAACACTCCCTGGATTAAGTTCTACGCTTTTCCATGGAAACTAATGTTACCCCCTCAAATATTGTTTGCACTTTTGATTTGGTATGATTCTTTGGAATAACATCCCTTGCAATAATGTCTATGCTGTTCATGTTTCATTGTTATTCCTAATTGTTTTTTTTCAACAACAAAGACTTAAAGTTCCACAACGGCTGCTGTATAGATCGAGAATGACATTCAGACACGGCTTCTAAGCTGCTTGTTTTTCCACCTGTGTTTCTCGTGTCATTGAACTTTGCACTTTGCAAACGGTTGTTTTCACCGTTGGAAGATTCACATGTCGAAAGTAAAGATATTTGCCATCCGCAATTGGCTACATGGATACATAAGACTCTGTGAGTCTCTATGAGTTTACATATGTGCACACTTCAGGTCGAGACAGCTAGCAGCTCATGAAAGCTGCAAGTATGCAGACTGATGTGAAGACAACCTCATACCACAAGACTATGGTGGATGAAAGAGTAAAGTCAATGACATAAAAGAGCTGCAAAGCAGGAAAAGGTAGGTGATGGGGGGTGAGCCGGGGTGAGCATATATACTGTATATATCTATCTATCTATCTATCTATCTAAATCAATCTATCTAAATCAATCTATCTAAATCAATCTATCTA